TTTAAAATATGTTTTTTTTCGATACACAGTTCTAATCATGTTTCAAGAATGGAAGCTACAAGCTTCGAATTCAATTTTGTAATTAAATTAAAGACATTAGTTCCATTCTATCCTCAAGCGAATTTTGGATTAACTTATTTTTTAAATTTACCGGGTTTTAAAGGCACGGCAAAAAACATAATTTACATTTTCCAAGGATACAGAGAAACCCATTCATCCAGACAAGGGGTGGTTGTGTGTTCATATTCATTAACTTTTGTTGTATCAGTTATTAGTTACGTTTTATAAAGGGTTACGTTTAGGTAGGGGTAGGGATGTATTTTTCAACGTATTCTGTCATACAATTTCCCAGTACTATTCATATATATATATATATATATATATATATATATATATATATATATATAATTGTTTTGGGGAAATTGTATGACAGATTACGTTGAAAAATATATATATATATATATCAAATAACGAAAAATATATATGAGATAACGAAATATATATGAGATAACGAATATATATATATATATATATATATATATATATATTAAAAACATTATTGGGGAAATTGTATGACAAAGTGGAAAAAGTTTGCTTGTCACGTGTTAGGTACTTGAGGACTTCATCGGATTAAATTTGATATGTTAGTAGGACTTACTCATGTGCACGACAGGGGGGGATTTTTAGAAGTTTTTTTTTTCTTATCTAGCCAAATTCATTTTGAGTCTTTTTCATTTTTCTTTCCATCACTTTCGTAAGTAGCTATTTCACAATGATCTTAGATCTGCAAAGAATGGTGAAATGCTGTAAAACCCAGGTATCAAATTTACTGTAGATGACATTACGATTCAGGCACTCTCGAAACCTTTACGTCTTCTTGAAATATGTTTCTCCTTTGATCAGAATAGCATTTTTTATTATGTCAAGATTGTGGTCAGTCTCGTTACGTTGGAAAGATTTATCGCAAGTCGGTTTAAGAATATTTTTCTTCGTCTACAAGACGCGTTTCTTCGTACCACTCCCCCAACCTGGAACTTATATACCTATGATATCAAGTTTATACTGGCGATTCTCCTTCCGCTAAATCGAGAGCATTCACTACAGTTAAAGAGCTACATCTACACCATAGTGTCGCTCCAGGACAGCAGAGTTTTGGAAATAAGAATTTTCCTTCTCTTAGATGAACTATCGTCCCAGGCTAATAAATTATATCTCTACGATTTAAGCTTACGGCACCTCATATCCCCAAACGCTTCCCCATCTAAGTAATGACTTAGTTCGACGCTGCTTAATTTCGCTGATCGAACAAGAACAGATGCATTCAACGCGACATAGCCGTAAGAAGAAAGACCAAAGAAACCCATTAAATCATGAAGCTTATCCTGAGAGAACGGCTGTGAGCCATTGCTTGAAGTTTTGGGAACAAATTCTTCATCTGATGCATTTACATTCCCTTGGAGAGTTTCTACATATTCCAGTTTAACAGATGCAATAGGAATTGTTAAATCAGATCCTGTTTCTACAGGTCGGTTTGTTGATGAATATTTGAGTAAGTGATTTTGTTTTCATTCTTTTGGTTGAGTCTTTAGAATTTTGAGGGAAATATACCAAACCTTATTCCGAATTATTAGTACCCTCTATATCAGAGGTAAACAAACACTGAGCCGCTAACCGGTACCGGGCCCATCTAAAAGAATAATCGCGATATTGTTTGTCTGTGTTTTCCTATGCGCTTGGAAGAAACCACCCATCCCCTTCCGTGGAAAAAATTATCTCAATTCCCCTTTCCAAGTTCTCCACCGCCTTAACCAGCTATTGAACTCACACTCTTCGGGTCCTGTCACTGGATCTAACTAACCCCTTTGTCCTTGAGGACATCTGTGGGTGAATTTCTGGGTATTATAAACCTAATGTCTTCAGCATCTATTTTTTTTTGCCAGCGCTCATATTGCAATTTTTGATGTTATCAATGCATGTTTTTTACCAACTGATAACTGATAACTGACATCCATTAGATATGGCACGTGGAACTAGAACAGGCTACCCCAGCGAGCGAGATAAACGGTTCAGTTCGAAATTCCAACCATCTGAAAAAGGCCAGAGCGTACAACGGTAGAATTGTTGTGATAAATATGGCAACAAAGATGAGGATGATAGTTATGAGCAATGTAAACAGTGTACATAATACCTCATCTCAGAAATATAGACATATACGTACGTGATTAATCGATTCATTTTTTACTGTTTATCAACCCTTTGCATGTTATTTAATGACGAAAGAAATTTTTTAGATTATAAGAATACTTTTTTTTAGATAATAATTATTTAGTAATACAAGTCTTACTAATTAACCCATAGTTGGGAAGGTAAGAGAAGGATTCATATTTTTCCCAAAGGTGCTTGTGTGTAAATTAATATAACGAACCCAGCGGGAATTAGAACTCGGTTCTCCTATTAACCCTTCCGAGTCATTGTCCATTACACCCACCACACATCCAGG